TCGTTGTCCGTGTGTGCAATGTAGCAATATTAGAAGACAATCGATGCAATATCTTAGATTCCATTTGTTTCGATATGTCATTGATCGGACTTATCAAACATGGATATGGCAAGTTGAAGAGGTTCCAAGATCATCTGCAGCGCTTAGGGGAATTGAGAGGAATGATGTTGATATTGATCATGAAGATGATGGAAGTAACATGGTTGATATGATTAATGATATGGAGGAAGAATTTGTGTACCGATCGGAGTTATTTGAGAAGATGATAGACGATACAGAGACACCATGGTATAGTGGGTGTAAGAAGTATGCCAAATTGTCCAGATTAATTAGATTGTGGAACTTGAAGGCGTCAGGTGGGTGGTCAAATGCAAATTTCACAGGACTCATAATATTTCTAAAAGATGCACTTCCGGATAATAATCAAGTGTTGGGTTATATGTACGAGGCTAAGAAGACGTTGAGCTCTATGGGGATGGAATATGAGAAAATACACGCGTGTTCAAATGATTATGTACTATATTGAAAAGAACGTCAAGACTTGGACGAATCTCCGGTGTGCCACGAGTCTAGGTGGAAGAAAGGAAAGAAACCATCCAACGGGAGAAAAGGTGTGCCGGTGAAGGTGTTATGGTACATTCTAATCGAACCAAGATTAAAACGATTATATCAATATCTGGAGCATGCTGAATACTTAACTTGGCATCATGATAAGAAGGTCGTTGATGGCATGCTATGACACCCTGCCGATTCTTCACAGTGGAAGACATTTGATGTAGAGAATCCTGAATTTAGTGCAGAACCTAGGAATGTCTGCCTTGCGTTGTCGGCTGATGGGATGAATCTGCATAGTAATTTTAGCAGCAAATATAGTACTTGGCTCGTCATCCTTGTAAACTACAATCTTCCACTAGACTTGTGTATAAAGTGGAAGTTTCTAATGACCTTATTGATTTATGGACCCAATCAACTAGAAAATGACATTCATGTCTACTTGGCACCATTGATTGACGAGTTAAGCAGATTGTGGGAAAGTCAGAACGAAGTTAACGATTGTTTCCGTAATGATTCACTTGTACTCCGAGCAATGTTGATGTGGACCATTAATGACTTCCATACATATGGAAACCTATCTAGGTACTCGGTTAAGAGTTCTATAGGTTGTCCTGTTTGCATAGCAAAGATATCTTCGATCCAATTGAAACATGGAAAGAAGACGGTGTACGATGGCCATAGGAGATTCTTGCCTATGAATCATCGATACTACAAACAAAGAAAAGCTTTTAATGGTAAAACATAAGAAAGACCACCTCCAAGACCTTTGACAAGTAAACAAGTGTTTGAGATGGTCAAGAACGTAAAAGTGGTATTCAGGAAGAAGAAAGGAACAAATAATGAGCCGGTGATCAGACTATAGAAGAAAAGGTCAATTTTCTTCGATCTTCCATATTGGAGTTCATTGTTAATTCGCCATCGCTTGGATGTCATGCACATTAAGAAGAATATTTGTGAGTCGATAGTTGGCACGCTACTTGACATCCTTAGTAAAACTAAAGACGACCTCAATGCACGGTTGGATCTCATGGAATTGAACATTAGACGTGACTTGACTCTTAAGAAAAGAGGCTCCTGCACTTACTTACCTCCGGCTAAGTACATATTATCGGACAAAATAAGAAGAAATTATGTGAATGGCTTGCTTTTGTTCCAGAAGGGTATTCATCTAACTTCATGAGCTTGGTGCCGATGAAAGAATTGAAGCTAACTGACATGAAGACACATGATTGTCATACTTTGATGCAACAACTGTTGCCACTTGCTTTGCGTAGGATTCTAACAAAGGATGTCAGATTTGCACTTACTAAGTTTTGCTACTTCTTAACCTCCATGTGTTCCAAGGTAATAGATCCAATGACGTTAGATACACTACAATCAGAGTTGGTGATGACCTTGTGCATGCTCGAGAAGTATTTGCCACTATCATTCTTCGACATCATGATTCATCTAATGGTACATTTAGTCCGTGAAGTTAGGCTTTGCGGGCCAGTGTACTTGAGGTGGATGTACCCTTTTGAAAGGTACATGAAGATTCTAAAAGGTTATGTTAAGAATCGAAATAGGCCGAAGGGTTGTATCGTGGAAAGTTACATAGCCGAATAAGCTGTGGAATTTTGCTCGGAGTACTTGTCTAACGCGGAAGCAATTAGTTTACCAAAGAAGGTAAACATGAAGCCAAAAGGTAAATCTGTCGGTATTCCTTCCTTGGTTCCTCGCGAAGCATGGGAATAAGCTTGTCTTTACGTGCTACATAATGCTCGTGAGGTGGAACCATACATTGAGGTTCACAAAAAACAAATAAAGGCGGCAAATCCAAAAAGAGGGAGAAATGAGAAGTGGTTGCAAATGAACATAACCGGACATTTAGAGAGTGGATAAGGACACACATTTACTCCAAGGTTTGCGAGTCAGGAAATGAATGTGTGTCGGAAGACTTGTTTAAGCTAGCTGAAGGACCCTCATCGATGGTAATGAAATACACGTCATACTCAATAAATGGCTATACTTTCTACACTCGGGAGAGATATGAGAAGCACCCGATCTAAAATAGTGGTGTTAGTCTCCGTGTTGATGCTATGCATATTTCGTCTGTAAAAGACAAGAATCCCGAGTATGGAACAATGACCTACTACAGTTTTGTGGAGGACATATGAGAACTTGACTATTGCGGATTGCGAGGGGTACTTTTTATGTGTAAATAGGCTAACAATAATTTTGTGAAGTTGATAGTGACGGCACTACAGTGATTGACTTTTGAAGAATAGGCTACAAGAATGATCCTTTCGTTTTGGCAACGCAAGCAAAACAAGTTTTCTATACAACCGATCCAATGATTTGGAGTTGTCCTTAGTTGTTCCCATGAGGTCAAGAGCCACTCTTGATGGAGAAGGGAAGGATGATGATTGCAACGACATTCCATCGTAAGTAGAGGCTTGGCACCCGTTGACGAGGTTGATGTTTTTGATAAAAATAATATAGAGAGAAAAAAATAATAAACTATATGTTGTTGTAATTTATATGAACATTTAATTAATATGTTGTTGTAATATTAATCATAAACTACATTTATTATATATTATTTAATATTTATAATTCATTTTTATTTAGAAATTTAATATTTTATTTTGCGGTTATAATGGTTTTTAAATTATGGCTAAAAAGCTAATAAAATACGGGATTAATAGGCCAACATGTGGGGCAAGAAAAAAACAGCTCGAATTTTTTTTATTTGGGAAAAACATATAACGACGGGTTTTTCAGAAAATCGTCGTCTAAAATACGCGTCAAGTTTATTATTGTCGAGATTAGACGACTATTTATTAAGAAAACTGTCGTCTAATATAATTTTTAATTATGGATAAAAACTGTTGTTATATACCACAGATATTTAACGACTCACAATTAGACGGCAGTTCTCATAATCGTCGTCTAATCTTTTAACGACAGTTATTAACCGTCGTTAAATATCAGATTTCTACTAGTGACAACTATATTTAATGAAAAAGTAAATAGCACCCGAAGAACAATGGATGCATTTAAAAAAAAATGCAAGAAATTGGATGAAGTTAGACTACATAAAATAGCAAAACCCGCTGACCAGCAACGTACGAACAAGGAAAGAAAGCTACCATAAAAAGACTTGCTTAACTGCCTGCTGCTTCTTTCAAAACCCATATATATAATCCTATGTAAATTTGGATTGTCGACTTGTACTATACCTAACATTTATCATATCTCCATAATTTCATATTTCTTATATTGGCACAAATAATTGAAAATATTACACGTTGAATAATATTTTAAGTTTCAATAATTTAAGTTTCGTCTTATATTATTACACTGCTTTTAAATAAAAGCATATATGTATTGCATATACGTCTTATGTGTATATAGAACACCGGAATGAAAAAAAAAATGAAAAACAAAGGGAGGGAAATTCTAATATGGATGATATTTTAATGTCCTTAAAGGGGAAATGGGGTCAAATTGATGTGTCAGAAAATAAAGCTCTATTTTAGGTGAAAGAAAGTGAAGAAAGCAAATACATTTTCACGAGGGGCATTCTGGTCACGAAAGGAAGGAACTGTCATTCAATACTACAGAGTCAAGAAACAAAATCATGTTATTCCCTTTAAATTTTACTTATCGGATTCTTTTTCTCCTGTCTGCATCTCAACCTAGTGTCCAAACCCTTTCCACATTTCTACTAAAAAAAAAGAAAACCCTAAAAATGTATTCCTCCTCCTCTCCTCTCTCCACAGAAGAAAGAAATATAACATATATAATATATGTGTATATATATACAAATATAAGGATTTTTCTCCAACAGAGCCACCTTGCAATAGAATCAATTTTTAACCATTAAATTTCATCAAAATAGATTAAAAATATATATAATGTAGATTGTTTTTAATAAAGATATGAAACAGAAAACATGACCTTTTTGGTATTATTTTTTCAATAGTTAGTTGAGAAATCTCATATATATATATATATATGTGTGTGTGTGTATATTTACACACGCACACACAAATATATAACCGAACACATGATATGGAAGACATGACTTGCTCTACCTTTTTTAGGGAAAAAAATAAAGAAATATTAATTCCAATCTTTTTTAGGAAAGATTAATATTTTCAAAAGCCAAAGCTACTAAAAAATTCCATTTCAGCAGTTCCAAACATTCTGGTATTACTCAAACAAAGCAAACAAAAACACACCAAGAGAGAAAAGATGCGCTAGGTAGCTAGCAAAGAGAGGAAAGAACAGTACTAGACTTCTGTCTTACTTTCTTATCAATCTCATCACATCTTCAACATCACTTGATCTTATTAGCTTCTCAACATTTTCACTCCATTTTTTTTCCCCTTCCTATCTATATCTTCTCTTCAAAAATAGAAATTTGTTTCTGTAATATCATCAGTCAATAATCAGAGTACTCCCGTGTCTTCTTCTTTCTTTCCTCTTTTTCTCCATCAGTGAGGTTGTTTTCAAAGAACAGTAAAATCTGCTGATAAAAAATCTTTTAAAAAAATAAAATAAAAACATTCAGCTGCACAAATTCTAAGAACCAAAAACACACATACGTCCCTCTCCTTACTAAAACTACATCTCCACTCACTCTCTCTCTATTTATCTATCTATCTTTCTTTCTCTCACAGCTCTTTCTTCTTCATCTCTCGTGACTTTGCAAAGAAGGAAGAATAAATAAAAACCCTAGAGAGGAAGAAAGGGAGATTCCATGGATTCGATCACCGAATTGGACAGCACATCGAACTCGGAGAACGGTTTGGTGATCGGGTCGGGAATCGGAGCGGCCATTAACGCTGGGAATACTAATTTATCGGCGACATCTTCTTCTTCGTCGTCGTCGTCATCTTCCACGGCTGCAACGAGCAGCAGCAGCCGGTATGAGAACCAGAAGCGGCGTGACTGGAACACGTTCGGGCAGTCCCTGAAGAACCCCCGGCCGCCGCTGTCGCTTTCGCGCTGCAGCGGCGCTCACGTGCTGGAATTTCTTCGCTATCTCGACCAGTTCGGAAAGACTAAGGTACACACCCCAATCTGCCCCTTCTACGGGCATCCCAACCCCCCGGCCCCCTGCCCCTGCCCCCTCCGGCAGGCCTGGGGCAGCCTCGACGCCCTCATCGGCCGCCTCCGGGCAGCCTTCGAGGAGAACGGAGGGAAGCCGGAGGCCAACCCCTTCGGAGCCCGGGCTGTAAGGCTTTATCTCCGTGAGGTTCGTGATTTGCAGTCCAAGGCTAGAGGGATCAGCTACGACAAGAAAAAGCGGAAGCGACCTCCGCCGCTTCCACCGCAGAATCACCAGCAGCAGCAGTTGCCGGGGCCCCCCCCCCGCCGCCGCAGATGCTGCATCATCATCATCTCCACCACCCGCCTCCAGGTGCAAGTCATCATCAATAAGATCTTCGTGATACCATCATCTTCATCATCACATCATGTTATGAAATGCAATCTCTACTCTTCTACTACTCAAGGGCTTGCTAGCTATAGTTTGTTTTTAGAGATGTTACTTATGGTGGGTTTCTCTTATTTCTCTTCTTCTTGTCTTCTTTTTTTTTTTTTTTTTTTTTTTTTTTTTTTTTTTTTTTTTTTTTTTCCTTTTGATATTTGTTAGGGTTAGTTATAATTGTTATCTGCAGTTTGTGCTAGCTAGTTAGCTTTATAACTATAGAGCACTACTACTACAACTACTAGTACTGCTGATGTTGTGTTTCTGTGTATTCGATCTGTTTAATTTACTTTTGGGAGAAGCTGGTGATCATGAGTTTAGATCTGTGGAATATCATGACGAATCTGCTTTTGTGGCGAACAGGGTTTAGTGTTTTAGTACGTAACTAGACTAGTAATGGTGGTGGTGGCCAGAACCCAGATATGGATGGATGATGAACAAGTCATGTAGGAGAGTACTACTTATAATTAATTGTATCTTTCACTTTACCTGTTATGATCTTATATGTGGAACAGTTCTCTTAGTTTTATGTGCTCAGTTTTTCATGTTTTTGCTTTCAAGCCATATTGCACATATATATCTATCTCTCGCTTTTTTGGACATTACTTTTTGCATTTTTTAACGGAGCGTTATTGGCGAAATTGAGTTCCTACCCGTTAAAGCTTTGAAGGGACTTTACATATGGATCATCTCTTGTCAGATATTGTGTGTGTGTGTGTGTGTTGCTTTGTTTAATGCTTGAACTGCAGATTCGTGGTTAAAAATTTCACTTCTAACAGTACTTTATTTCTGACTTCCCCTTTTCTTACCCTTCTAAAAATATGTTGCCACCTTTTCCTGCTTTACTGTCTGGAAAATGATTTATGTGGCTTACTTTGTACGAAGGAAAGAATACCATGAAAAACTTTTCCATAAATTCCTCGTTGATGGCGTTGTTTTTGGCTAATAATCTCCTACTAGTGCTCCTTATTAAGGTCAATCAAAATAATAACGACGGTCGTAGTGCTGTCATTTCATGATTTCAAGATAGCAAAAATAGTGAAGAGCAGTGGCAGACAGTGTAATTTCGTTATATATGGCTTTTATGATTCTTATACATACACATATGATATAGGGAGAGTTTTGTTTTATTGTATACACATGCATGATCTACTTAACCCTTTAAGTGGTAAAACTTTGTATGAATTTCCTTATTTGTCATATCAGTCTCAGATGTTACAGAAACAGCAGGAGAAATTGCATCAGTCAGAAAGAGAGAGAAAAAGATAGAGGGAGGGAGAGAGTGTATTATATATGATTATAGGAACCTGAAAGTTGTGGAGCATATAGCTAATGAAAAATTTAAGAATTATTTTGAAGTACAAAACCTGATATAAGGAAAGAACACAGAAAAGTTTTAGCTTAGACGCAAAAGCTAGCTTTTGCTGTATTCTAGGAAACTTAAAAGAAAACAATATGGTGAGCTTCTTGAAGTAGGGCAAATAGTAACATCATTAGGGTGTTGTGACAAACTACGTATGAAGATTTGGAAGAAAATTTTTTCCAATTAATTAACAGTCTGGCCGACAACTTGTCTGTGATTGGTTAGTGTTGTGTCATCCCCTCTTTGATTTTCTATTATATAATTATATGTATTGAGGTTAACGAGGATTTCTCACCACAAACCCCTTTTATGTAATTGAAGAGAAAAGTTCATTATTATTTGTGCATTAATTTGGCCAAGGAAAGGCAAAAAAAATTCTTTTGTTCATGGGATTAGGAGCCAGTAAATACTTTTATTTATTTATTTATTTATTTATTTATCCTTTTCCTTTTAGTGATTCAAGTGGGGTATGTAACTACATATCACTTTGACACATAGAGGACTAGTCCCGCAGCTAATCATTCAAGTTTTATCATTGGATATCTTGGTATGTTTTGAATTCCAAGAAGGGGCAACCTTATGTATTATTAAATAAGCTTAGGGGGAAATTGTTGATATTAATTAAGCATAATCTTTAAATATGATGCCCTTACTTATAATATTGCTAGTAGGTAAATCAAATGTGACTAGATCGATTATATTATTAGGGCTAGCTGGTAATTTAAAAATATGCCTAATTAAGGTTTCAAGTCAGCTTTAGAAACCTTGATTAATTTCTTAAGCCTTCTTCCACCAAGAAAGCATTAATATATATAGCTCTTCCCTTTCATTGTATTATGTGCTAAACCTAATTTAGGGAAGTTGTTTATGCGGATATTTAGGTAGCTGGATTATCAGTATTATATTTTTAGTGTGGATGATGTGCAAAATTTTTTGATGTGGCTTTTGACCAATATTTATTTTTTTCAGCAGATCTCCTATTTCGACATGAGTAGATTAAAAACGACATTGAGGATTCTAGGAAAGTGAGAATATACATTTTTTATAGAGGTTTTCTCTCCTTGAAGTTTTTCTAGCTAGTTTAATTGATCTAGAAGTCTTTGATGATCAGCCAACTTTCTTGTTTCTAAAATTTTGTGCTTTGGTCTGCTGGAAACTTGAAATGTTAAATATTGGTTATCCATCAAAGTGTCGAAATAATTTTGCTGCAAATCAATTCGGAAAGGTTTCTTGAAATGTTTTCGTTGATTTTTATATATTAATTGTACCCAAATTTATGTTTATTTCAGTTTCTTTTTGCTCTCTAGCTCTTCCTTTTTTCTGGCTATATCTTTGTTGTTCTCAGTTAAGTCCACAACCGGTAAGTTTCCTTGAAAAATTTCATTTCTAACACAAGGAAAGTGCGCCCCCCTCTTTTTTTTTTCTTTTTTTTTTTTTCAAATATACGTAATGAATATTACTGACACAACACGTTTATATACTTATAACAAAGGGTACGTAATAGTCAGTTTCTTTGTTTCAGATCATCATCGAATTGTTACGTTCCCATAAATAAGATGTTTTCTTATCAGTTTCTTAATCTATTTATCATTGACATCAAAACCAGCATACATAAAAGATTTTATTAAGTACTAATTTTGTGTACTATATCGCACATATTCTGATTTTTATCATCCGCACGTCAAACTACTTTTCTTGTTGTGTAGTATATATATTTTCTCCAATAAGGAAACAGACATATTGAATTTTCAATGTTTTCTCATTAAATATAGAAATTTGATGGCGTTGTATCATAAAATTGTATCATTAATTCAATTGCCATTAATTTGTTTGATCAACTATCCAATTTATTACAACTATCGGATTGATATCTTATATTAAAATAATAATACCCATTGATAAATAAATATTAGAATAACTACAAAATATATATATATATATATATATATTGCCGTTTATTTTGCTTATTCTTCCATATAGTTATATAGGCTATAGTTGGCAATAAAAAAAATAAAAAAATAAAATAAAGCCATGTTGATCGAAGCTAGCCCGCATTAATTAATAAAAAGAAATTTCAAGCTCGCGGTAATGGAGCTTGGTATAATTCGTTGAGTAATACAAAAATGTATACTTACATACATACGTATATAACATATAAGTTTATAATAAGCATACATATATAATAGTCGGATACGTATATTGGAGAGAGAGATTAAAGAACTTGACTCCATTTAATCAAATTAGTAGCGTAATTATACGACTTGTAGTTATATCATTTATTTATATTTTGCCCTACTATATTAATGAATAAGCATATATAATAAAGTGAATTAAAGAACATTTCAAATGTTTTAAATGATATATCATGATATCATTGGTTAGATGCTATTTTTAATACTAAAATTGAACAGGTGGAGTGCGAATTTATGTTTGAGTTTGTAATTCATTCATTCTCATAAGGAAATTTCCCCTTTAATAAAAAAAAAAATAAAAAATTAACAGGTGATTTGATCGAGTCCATTTTTATGTATGCGTGCTAATTTTGTAATTTATATGAGGTTTCTCTAAATCATGTATACAAGAAAGGTAAAAGTGAAAGTAGTTCTTATGGCTCACTTTGCCCTTTTTAGTACATGTTGTTACCAAATAACAGTTTACAATAATCATCCACTGCCGCTTATCATGCAAATTACTGGTGAAACGTTCAGCCGGCAAGAACTTCTGGAGGGACCAATATACTTTTCAAGGGATAGCGACCTTAGAATCTTTTTGAATGACTGGAGATATATATTGATCAATAACAATAATTATAAGGTAAACCCCAACTTAGTTTGCTTCTTGTTCATGAATGAACTCATTGCTTGAATTAGTGAACCTTGTTGTGTGTCCACCAATAAGTTAGAATTAATTGTCACCATTAGGAAACAGGAAGTAGTAAAATGGCGCTTGATATGATGGCCAAAAAGTGTATGTCAAGACAAATAGCCACAATAATTCTGTCAACATAATGTTTTTGTTTTCGAATTTAAATTTGAAGATTAACTTGCTAATTATGTAGTTAGAGCTATATATACACATACGTAAATATATATATATATATATATATATATACACACACACATGCCTATATCCACGTAATTTCTTATATTTGATTCGACAGATTTTTATTACTTGTATATATGTATAAATTCATGTAATTTTGAATGAATCAACTGATAAGTACTGAACAGTTACATATTCATAGTACATATGTATATAAAATAAATAAATACAGTACGTTATCTTGCGATTCAGCTAGTGGTCTTCATAGTTTTCCTACAATTCCTATTATCCTAAATAAGAAACAGCCACATATATCACCAAAAAAAAAAGAAAGAAAGAAAGAAAGAAAGAAAAGGCCAACAACCGCGCATTACACGCAGTATTCCATCTGATTAAATCCCCAATAGTGCTGATTAACGCCTTAAAGTATTGTTCACAAGCAGTTAATTGTAGCATAGAAGAGCGGCCGTATCTATAGAGGCAATAAAACATACAATAAAGATTAGCAGAATAAGACGTTAGAGGAGAATAAATTAATAAATTTAAGAAACGAGAAAGAGTATTGTTGTGATTTTGTTGCGAATAAAGTGAAGAAAAGAAAGGAAATTTGTGTGAAGAAAATTCAGTAGTAAAAAGGTAAGGGGTCGAGAATCCCTTGTATTTCGTTCACCAATTTAGGTTTTGATTTACGAAATAAACGTATCGAATAAATTAAATCCTTGTGTTGATTCCAATATTATATATTATTATTATAAGTTATCCAAAATCGACAATATATCAATTTGATAATATTGCAGTAAAAG